TCATGTCATGAAGAAAAAGAACTTTTAAAAATGAAAAAGCCTTTTGAGTCAGATTCTGCTCCCCAGGGGCCAATGAAGACAGAGACCCACAAATGGCCTTAATTTTTTTTTTTTTGGTCTAGCTATAAATAAATGGTTTTGGCAGTGGGGATTTCCCCAGTCTTTCTGGAAGAAAATTCAGAAATAAATCATGCTGTTTAATGCTGTACCTTCTGCTTTCTCCCCAAAATATTATCTTACTAATTCAACAAGTATTTATTAAAAGCTGATAGACATAGAATTTAAAGTTTCACTTTGAAAAGACTCTTACTTTTGTATTTTGTTCAAAGCCAATACAATCATTTTGTAACAAACTAATAAATCTTTCATTAAGTGATTTCAATCATGGTAATTTAACATAAAGATGTGCTTTTACTCTGCAAAGGGCACTCTTGTGTCATATGTTGCTTTGATAATTATAGGTCACTTTATTAGTCTTTTGTCTATAGATCTTTTGGGTTCCTCAAACTCTGGCCCAGCTGGATACTTACGGCAATCTTATTTAAGGGGTGGGCAGAGATAACACTATAGAGAGCTTACCTTTCCCAGAACCTAGCCCAGAACTTTTCCCATATACTGCCTTCTAAGGAAATTCACCTAACACACATCTCCTTACCTATGAATACCGCATGGTACTTTGCATTCCACTCATCATGGCAAATTGCCAGGTCTTGTACTATAGATACCTGTACACCATTATACATATACTCGTGTCTCTCTCTCTCTCTCACTCACACACACACACACACACACACGCTTGTTTGTTTTCATGATATCCTTCCCAGGATGTCAAAGAAGATGCTTTCTGGTCTGCTGTCTTCCCTTGGTAAAAAACAAAATTAAAAAACCTAAAAAGACCCAAACAGATACCTATGCAGCATCATGATGTAGCAAACTGGAATCAAAAAGGTCTTCCAGTCCCCAAACCAGGCTTCCACAATTGTAAAAGAGGGAAAATATCCCTTTTGGCTGTCTTCCTAGGAGGATGAGAGGAAATGATGAATAGGAAATTGCTCTATATAGGACCAAAGATAACAGAGTGCTATTAGGTTCTCATTTTCTACTTTAGTAGTATGTTCTAAACCCATGCTTTCTGGTCTCCCTCTGCTTCTGCTGAAATTTATTTGCCTTTTCCTAAATGTGGTTCATGCTTTTTATAAAAATAATACACCTACCTAGTTGGAAAGGTCACAGTACAAAGCTTACAAAGAAAAATAGCAGACCCTAGACCCCTCACTCCTCCCACTCTGCTCCCTGCTCCCCAGAGGCAACCATTTCTTTCTTTCCTTCTTTTTTTGGCTGTTTTTCTTCTTCCTATTTCTAAATATAACACTTAAATTGCTATTTTCTGGGGGGGGGGGGTTTGTTTTTTTGTTTTTTTTCCAGACTCTCTAGTATGGGAGATGATACTGTACTTCTGTTATAGTCACCAACCTCACCCACCTGCCACACACACTTACTTTCCTTCCCTGGACTCTCAATGTAATTTTGCTACAATTGTTAGTTAAATCAATATTGTTCATAAATGAATCACAGAGTATATCATAACAAGACTTCCTTTTTTCATTAATTTTCCATTTTGTCTGCAGTTACTAATTGCTCCATTTTTCTCCTCAGTATTCTATGTATATCTATCACCAATTCTTTCCCAACAAATCTGACAGAATTGTAAATTCCTGGGGTGTCTGGGCAGTTCAGTCAGCTAAGCGTCTGACTCTTGATTTCAGCTCAGGTCATGATCTCAGAGTTGAGATCAAGCCCCTCACTAGGCTCTGCACTGGGCATGGAACCAGTTTAGGATTCTCTCTCTCCCCCTCTCCAAATACACCTCTCTCTCTCTCAATAAATAAAAAATAAAATAAAAACTGTAAATTCCTCTCAGTTATTTTTTCCTAGAGACATACTTCCTAGTGCCCTCCTTCCTTCTGCTCCAATTTGGACGAGTTGCATTCTAGGTCTGCTGCACAGCTGATATCCCATGGCTTTTCTTCTCCATCACCAAGGGAATTCTCTTCCCCTCTGTCCTGTGTTGGGAGTCCCCACTTCCTGGGTTCTCGATCTTCCACTTTTTTGATTTCAACCATCATTCTGGGGAAGCATATCCTTCAGTAACTCACTGAGAAAGGATGTAAGGCAGGTAAATATTTTTGAGACCCTGCATATCTCAAAATGGGTTTATTTTACTCTCACATTTGAATGAAAGTTTGGGCATAAAATTCTAGGTTAAAAATCATGGGGCGCTTGGGTGGCTCAGCCGGTTAAGTGTCTGCCTTCGGCTCAGGTCATGATCCCAGGGTGCTGGGGTCGAGCCCCGCATCGGGCTCCCTGCTCAGCGGGCAGCCTGCTTCTCCCTCTCCCTCTGCCTGTCTCTGCCTACTTGTTCTCTCTCTCTCTGTCAGATAAATAAATAAAATCTTTAAAAAAAAAAAAAAAAACACAAAAATCACTTCTTCAAAATTTGAAGTTATTCCCTGTTATCTCCTTGCTTCAATGTGGCAGAAAGTCCAGTGCTATTCAGATCTCTGTACTTAGTATGTTCCCACTCTCCCATCCCTACTCCAGACCAAGAAGCCTTTAAGATTTTCCTTTATCCCCAGTGTTCTGAAATTTTATGATTTGCCATCATAAAATCTTTTTAATACACCAACCTGGTCCTTTTCATTATGGAAACTCATATCCTTCAGTTCTGGAAATTTTTCTTCCGATATTTCTCTGAGAATTTCCTCATTTTCCCCCTCTATTCTGTTTCTGAAAATCATGTTAGCCAGATATTAGGCCTCCTTTATTGAGTCTCTGTCTTGTTGTTACCCACGTTACTGTCTTTTGTTTCACTATCTGGCCTACTTCAATTTTTTTTTTTTTTTAAGATTTTATTTATTTATTTGACAGAGACAGAGACAGTGAGAGCAGGAACACAAGCAGCGGGAGTGGGAGAGGGAGAAGCAGGCTTCCCGTGGAGCAGGGAGCCCAATGTGGGACTCAGTCCCAGGACCCTGGGATCGTGACCTAAGCCGAAGGCAGACGCTTAACGACTGAGCCACCCAGGCGCCCTGGCCTACTTCAATTTTATCTTCCAACTTTTCTGATTTAAAAAATATCTGATTATTAAAAAAAAAATATCTGATTATACTTTAAATCTCAAGAACTTTCTTATTCTCTTTCTGTTCATTTTTTTTTTTTTATGGCATCCTATTCTCTTTTAATGGGTGCAAAAGCTTCTCTGAAAATATATTTTGGAAAATATACTGGATTTACTTTTAAAAGTTTTGTGACTTGTACTGTTTCTATGTCCTCTGATTTTTGTTTGTTTTGGGCCTATGTATTATGTGAGATGCCTTTCTCAAAAGACCAGTGATCTTTGGCTAACTGTAAAAGAGGAGTAAACAGGCTAATTGAAAGCTCTGTATGCATAGTGGGATTTGTTGACTAACAGGCATCAACTTAAAGTGAATTGGGCAGGCATTATGACGGTTTGGGAGCCCTCAAATATCAGTCCCCAGACTGGACTCCTCTTATCTCCTGCTTAGAAGATTTAAGGCTGGCTGAGAGCATTTTGGGAGCACAGAGGGACAAGAAAACTGATTATTTAAAATATGCAGACTTTTCTACAAGAAAGGAATCATGTGATCCTTCTTTATAACCCTGCCAGTTAGCTGCAATGACTGGGATATAGTAGAGATTGCTACATAAGGGCTTCTTGACTGTTTCTTAAACTTTCCCTAAAGCCACTGTTATTGTGTAATAGAATTATCCACACCTTCCAAGCAGTATCACCTAAAGCACATCCCTCTGAATATGTGACTGATAGCATGTTAAGAAAAGAAGACAAAACTAGAAAAGTGGTTAAGACTGAACGACAAAGCAAAACCGCAGAATTAGTCACCAAGCTAGGCTATACCTCCTCTTTCCTGTGACTGATTTTTACGGGCTACCTTATCTGGATTCAGAGTCAAGAAGGTGATGTGATCCAAATACATATTCCTTATCCAGGCTGGGAGAAACTGACAGTTTGAGAGCACTGCCTGAAGTTCCCTTGGCCCAGGCTACCGGGTTTCCAGGAGTAAAGTTACCTGGCATACAAAGAACCGCACATTCCCACACTAGTCTCCTGGTACTACAAAGATACCTTTTATCATTTAGAGTCAAGAATAGCCTTGAGCAAAGAAAAGACTGCTTATAGGCTCTGGCCCACCTTTTGAACATCACTGTTCTATAATCACCAGAAGTAATAATAATAGTGACTAGATGTAAATAAGAAATAAGAAAGAATAAATAATAAATAATAATTAAATAAAAAATAAGAAAGAATCATTCATTAATTCCGTAAAGTTGACCAGAACTCCTGCTCTGAGCCAGGTCCCATGTTAGATTTTAGGGATAAAGATATGAAGAGACACTACACTGTTCCTGCCTTTAGAGACTTTACAGACAAGTAAAGGAAGTAAATGAAAACTGTTTTATGTTGAATTTAATGCTACTGTCATTTTAGAAAGGTGAGGGTTTATCATGCCTCTCTTCCCAAATTTGGGATTGCTAAAAAGCATGGAATTGCTAACCCCACACTGAGCTTCTAAGACCTTAATGTGGGGGGGACACCAAATCATTATGTAGGGCTTCCTTAGATGTGAAACCATGGTAGATACAAATAACAGTACTTGTTTTTATTGCAAAGCACTTCATGTATTACAAAGTATTTTTACACCCATATCTAATTCAATTGTCAAAGTAACCCTATGAGGGATGAGATTATCTCCTTTTATAGAAGAAATTAAGTGCTTAGAGAAGTGATTTGCCCTTACAAAACTAGTTAATTTGAAACAGAAACCTAGATTTTTTTATTCTCAGTTCAAAGTTCATTTTAATCATATCATGGCGCCCTCGTCACCCAAATTTTGAAGAAAAGCCTAATGACTCATTTGCAGCTATAAGAAATGTCTAGAATAATGCCAAGATGTGCAAAATATGTTAATAATATGTACATTTAATATAAAATAATTAGGTTTCCTTCAACTTGAAATGGAAAAATTACACAAAAACACAGAGAACGATTTGTGAAGACTTTAAAAAATCATAAATGCCACAATTCTCCCATCCTTAATCTTCCCATAATCTGCTCATATAACAATAAATTCTGGTTTACCAATAATTTATTTCACAAGTCTTCTATGATACAAAAACACAAAGCGAAATTAAAACATTTCCTACAAAGCCACTGTGCAGATTTTTGAATCAAACCTGAAAGGCTGAGGACACACTCCCAGAAACCACTCTACCATCTGGGAACTTGTAACCCTGTTGCTTTAATTTCAAGTTCAAAGAGTGGACAATGCATTTATAGTACAAAAATTCAAGTTTTCCCAATCCTTAAAATACTGAGACCATTATTCAAGTAAAAAGGAAAAGCCCTTAAAAAGGCTCAAAAAGAAATTCATCAAGCAATAACGCTTAAAGAAAACCCTTTCCAAAATGGAATTTGGGAGTCGGTAGATCCATGAACAATTTAAATATCCTTTCTGGTGTAAGACAGTTCTTTCATTAAAGTAGACCACTTGTCCTTTTGTAACTGCTTTTCTGTTCTAAGAGGAAAAAAAACACATCTTCTCTGAAATCACTGTATAAAAACGTACAATTTACAAATATAATAATTAGTATTGTCTTATTTGAACATTTACTATGAAATAATTTCAACACAATCACCAAAAGCTTATGCTTCCTCTGATATCAGTCATATACCATATATAGTTAAATGCACTGTCTTGCCAAAGCCCAAGGTAACTGAATCTAAAAATATATATATTTTTTCATTCTGAACTAGCCAGATTGGTATTTAAACCAAACGTCATCAAATGTTGCACTAAACATGCCAGGATGAAAAGGTTATTTAAATACAAACTGTCCAGATGTATCACATAGAATATGCTCCTAGCCACCGATGATTGAATGATTATATCCAGGCTCATCCCCTCTCCCCCAACATGCACAAACATAAGAAAATAAAAATTAAAAAACAGTAAAGACAATGAATGTGAGAAAAGAACTGGTAAGTGGAAGAAAACGCAGACTTTCTATAGTCCAATGAAGACAATATAAACTGGAAAGACATCTGATATTAAACAAGTATCAGCTGGGGGAGTGGGGGAATTTTTCTTTAAAATTATTATACGTACTTAGTTTCTACTTTAGTTTTAGGTTGAGACATTGACAGAGATTTTAATGTGAAAAAAATATTTCTAATAACATCTAAATTTGGTACTAGGACAAAAAAATGTAAAAATCTGTTAACAAAAGCTCTTATTGAAAGAGTTATCTTTTGAGTCATTAAAAGATCAGCTTGATTAGCCCACTTCCAGAGAATCAAACAGATATTTTCTCTTTTCCATAAAATTTCCATAAGATCTTTCCCAAAGAGTTTTCTCTTTTCTCACAAGATGGAACTCCACTGCAGGAAAAAATTAAAAGGGCTCAAAACCCCCAAACCTAAAAATCCACTGATTTAACATCAGTTTTCTACAAAAAATAATCTTTAAGATTCTAATCTTTGCTAAACTAAAAACTCACAAGCAAACTGCAAATCTGAACAGGTTACATTCCCCAACATGTATGAAAAGGGAATTTTGGTTCTTTTAGATCTGTGCCATGTAAATAAAGGAGAAATGTACAGAACCATTTTTCAGAATCCAAGGGAAAAGGTTTTCCAATTCAAATGGCAATTTAACAGAGCCACTCATTGTTAAAATAACTTGCAATTTCAATGAGTTCTAAATATTGAAACAGCTTGGAATCAAATTTTCTAACAGTAAATATAAAGAGCAAGCAAGTTTTTGGGAAGAATTCAGAATGTGAAATTTCAATGTTTATGTAATACTGATTCACTTAAAATTAAGCAGTTGAAGTAGAACACACATTTGAGGTTAAAATCAAACTGATATCTAAAACCTAAAATCATAAGAATGCTGCCCTTTATTTTAAAAGGAGGCAGTAGGTTTTCTAATATATGACAAAAAACCCAAAGCCTATCTCCCTGTTTTATAAATATCCATGTCCTTTCTTGGATTCAAAACTTCACTTTAACCCATTTCCCTTGGGTTTCTTCCATCTCACTGAATACCATTGTTGTATTAAGATTATAACATCTAGCCAAAGGCAGAGAGATCACATAAGTCCTCCTGAAGACTTCCAAAACATTAAAACCAGTTGAAAAGCAGAGGAAATACTCTCATGCTTGGAGCTGCTGGGAAATCCTTCTCTCCTTTTAGAAAAATAAACTTCTTGTTCTAAAGATAATCACTTGAAGAAAACATCACTAGTACATGCAAATACACAGCACTATCGATAATTCTAGAGTAACAGTAATAACATCCTACAGATTTTGCTAGTACTTTGACTTAAAAAAAAGAAAGACTAAGTAAACAACTGTTATATCAAAGGATTTCTTTTCTAGAAAGAGAAGCGCAATAAAGGACTTCTCCTTCTCTCATTCAAATGTGCATTCCTTAACACTAAAAAAGATTGCTTTTAAAAACAATTAGATGCTACTTTGTTGATGCCATTTAACCACAAAGATAACATCTCAATCACCTTCTATTTTATAAATGTATTAGTTAAATATACAGTATATTTTCTCATTCAGTTGCTTAGGACACCTTTCTCCCAGATAGTCTTATATTTCAAAAGTCTCTGGATAAAAAAAAGAGAAGACTAAAGATTTACTTTTATATGTTTTCACCATTATAAAAAAAATGGCAGCAATTAACCTATCATTTGTTTTTCAGCTTATTAAAACACACTTTGCTGTAAAGAGTAATCTAAATTCAAATATTGTCAATACACACATACACAAAGGCATGGGCAAAAATACTACCACACAATCACTTTCTATGCACACAGTTCTTTAGATCTCCATGAAGCATGGCACAGAGAGCAGCTCAACTTTTCATAAAAATTATATGATTTGACTGCACTTTTGCTTCATTTATGGTGCACTGCAAAATTTTAAAATTAGTGTTTAGGTGTTCACATTATTCACTGTACTGAGAATTCTCTTATGAGAATAAGACATAAAACGTAAAACATTTGGCTTTCTAAATGACAGTGCTGAAACTTGCAGCACAGTTTTACTTTGGCATATATAAAGAAAAATTTTATATCCTGTTAATTCATCACTGGTTTTTAATATTCCCCATTAAAATAATTCAATTGCATATGCAGCCCAAACAGCTGGAAAGAACCCAGAAAAGCGACAAGAAAATGACTTTTTAAAAATGCTGACGCTTTTCACACCCAGGTTCAGTCATGCCCGCTGAAGAGAGGTGTTAGATATGGCTTTATTTATTTTAAATCTTAAAAATGTAGTCATTTCCATGACATTACAAAAACTGGAACCAAGAGCAATTTACCTTCACAGTCCTGATTCTCCTGATGCCAAAACACTTTTTAGAAAATAATTTCTGCAAACTTAGAAGGTATTTTCGACGGATCATTTGTTTGCTATTGCTTAGAGTCTAATTATTTTGTCCCAGATTTCCTAGTGAACTAGGAATACAGAGATAAAAAGGAAAAACACACACACACACACACACCCCCCCCACAGTGACTCAGTGTCTGAACCACTTCAGATATGACATCCGTTAAGGGGGTCTTTGCTCCTAACTGTGTAAGGGTCCTTAGCTATGGTCTCACTTGCACAAGAAGTACACATGGCCCCTGAGAGGCGCTTTAGTCCCCTTTGGAAGACACTGTTGGAGAGACTATAAATGACACAGTTGCAGAAACTGTTACTAATAGCAAGCCAGGTGGTCAAGAAGGAGGCGAAGCGGTTGCTGTAGCCAGTGGAGCTCTCCAATAAGAAGTAGATGATGTATGGCAACCAGAGGATGTAAAACACACTAGTAATTCGGAACAGGACCATGGCATAGCGCTTATCGGGACAGGTCTGTACCTCCCCAGTCTCCCCACTCTGGCTGCTGAAGCGGGCTTGCCTTTCGCTGATCTCCTTTGTGTGCTGTTGGCAGATACGGAAGATGTTGAAATAGGTGAAGCACACAATAAGGGCTGCCGGGGCATACAACATCACCACGATGAAGAGGGTGAAGTAGGGGTCGGTGTGCCAGGACTCTGCACACCACTGAAACACATCTCCATGATATCCAGGTTTGCCCCAGTGGAAAAAGGAAGGCAGGAAGACCAGGGTGGAATATAGCCAAATCAGGAAAATACAAACACGTAGTCTCCAAGGCGTAACCAGGGTATTATAGGTTAAAGGTTTAGTGATGGCAATATATCTATCGATGCTGATACAGGCCAGAGAGGCCATGGAGACACTCTTCAGAACAGATACTACAAAACCGAATACCTGGCAAGTCAAAGACTCCTCCACTGGAAGGGGGTAGTGGAGGAGTGATAAAGAAGGGACCAGGCAGCTGACCCCAACCAACAGGTCAGCATATGCCATAGTCTGAATAAAATAGCTTGTAGTATGATGGTTCAACAAAGGTGCACAGTGAAATACAAAAATCACAATGATGTTGCCAGAAATAATCAATACAGTGAGAAAGACAATAATCAATACTTCCAAAAGGCAAAAATCGACAGTTTCCAAATTGCCAAATGTCAAGAGGCAAAAAGGGTGGCTGCTCTGATTACCATCCAAGGTAGAGTTCATCTTGAGCTCGGGAGTGATCTCTCACTTCATGCTGCCGCTTGGCTGCTGCCAACAGTTCAGAGGAGCAGCTGCAGTCATTGCGGTCAGCTGTGTGGGTCTGTAATAATGCCAGACGAGCCTTAGTCCCCAAGCTCCTGATGCTGCTCTGGTGCACTGCCTGCAGTACAATTCCCCTTTAAATCCTTCTTGGAATAGGGAGAACCAGCAGCAGTTGTCTGGCCAGTCCCAGATGCGGCCATAGTACCAGGTTTACCATACACATAGCACCAGGGGAGTAAGGCAAACTCTGGGTACAATGTCTTCAGGCCAATGAGGGTAGGGGGTAGGGGCAGAAGAGAAGGGAGGAAGATTAGGAGCTTCAGCAGGAGTTGTAATGAGGCTCCTCTGAACAGCTGATAGAAGAAAAGGAGAGAGCATTTTACATTTTGCATCCAATGCCCTGATCAAAGAACCTGGCTAGCTCAGGCTGGTATCAACCCTCCCACTCCATCCCACCCCACCCGGTACAACCATTCATGGCTACTCTCAACGACACCCCACAAAACTGGTCCTGACTCTACAGAGGAGGAGCAACAACAGCAAGCTTTCATGATCAACATAAAACAAAATCAATTGCAAGCCAGATCAATCTAACCCCATTTCCTTTCATTTGAGCCTTTTGGGGGAAGAAAAGGAATCTGCTTATAGCATTTCCAAAAATATTTTACCATAACTACCACTAATAAAATTACTTAAGATAATTTATTTTCTTCACTGATTCCAATGTAATATTTTGCCTCTTTGAAAACATTGCAACAGAATTTATCTGTCTAGCTCGATTTCAGAGTGTTACCTGTAATTCTGCATGCTGCAATCCAAACAAAAGCCACAAAACATCCTTAACAGAAAGCCTTGCAGTGCAGGAATGTGCCTCAGCCCCGTTTACTGCAGAACTGAGACACAGAGGGAGGGGATAAAGGAGGAGGAGGGGAAAGAGGGAGAAGAGGGGGCTTGGGAAAAGGAAGAAATGGGGGAGGGGAAAGAAAACGCCTATGCGCACACACCCTTCGGCATCTTTAGCAGCTCATTAGAATTCATCGCCAGAGAAGTGGTCCCTGATTTCCCGACTGCACAGTGGGGGAATAACTTAATATGCCTGCAGTGCAGTGTTTGAAAGCTGTTTCCTCGTCTGTCTGGAATCCCCCTTTTAGTCGATGAGCAAAATTTAGACTGCTAGTAAGGACAAGGGGTTGTAACCGGGACAGAATGCCAGCCAGGAATTAGACTGAAACAAAAGCCAAAGGGGTAATGGTGAGAGGAAATTCCAATTTTCTTATAGCATTTTCCTCAGGGACAAAGAGCAATGCTAAAGAATGAAAGTGTGTTAACAGTGCAGTGTTAACTGAGGAATTCTAATTCAGTGACACAAGAAGTTCTAGCTAGAAGTCTAAATGTTCAGCATTAATTTTCTCTCACGATTCCCTGGATATTGGCTAATTTTAAGAAAGATGACAAAAATAACAAGCAAACTTAAAAATCAGTTTTTCAAGAGAAAAAATAAAGAAAACCTCACCCATTCTGAACACTGAGGAAACAGCATACAAGCACGCTGTTGCTGTATTCAGTGCTACCCTATAGTTTGGAGATGCCATTTCTTGCTTTTAGTTTACTGAGAAGCAGTACACAAAAATACACACAAAAGGTGGACAAATATATATACCCATTTCCACTCAGGCTTTAAAACTGCAAGAAGTTTCCTGGTACAAATCAGCTTATGTATCTTAGAATAAACAATCTCATTTGTGCCTATTTAAAACAATGCAAATTGGGATTATATTGTGGGATATATTATACTGTGTTGGGATTATATTCTGGCATTCTAGAAAGATGGCACACCTGGGCAAGGATACATGTTATGTGATCCAATTTTCATTTTTTGTTTCACACACATGCCTCCTCACTGCAAGCAAATGGTCCCCCATAATCAGAATTCAATTAATTATATCTTAAGAGCTAAAGCACTCCACTTATTATAGGAAGGCAACACTAAAAAACCTACTGAGCATAAGCTTGATAGCTATATTTGACAGATCTTACTGGAAAACATGGCTAAGTGTGGCATATAAAAAACCCATGGCACTGACCACCCAACTGGTTCAAATCTTGGTCTTACATTACTAAGCCTCTTACCCTCAGTTTCATCATCTGTTAAAATGAGGATCATACTCCCTATTTCACAGAGTTATTGCGAAATAAAGGAGACAGTGTATACATACAAAAGGCTTACCAATATTTAGCACATAGTGGGTATATAACTTTATTCCCTTTCTTCTCCTAGAACTAAAATACCCTTCGTAGGTAGTCTGTGTTTTTCTGCCAACCATGTTTGCACTGCTTGAGGATGGGGTCCTCTGATTCCTAAAATGCCTCTCTTATTGTGACTGCCCAGTTCTGAGGCACAACAGAATATCCAACAGTTATTTGGATATTTTGCTGTCACACGTTCCTCAAATACATTGAGGCTATACATACGTAAGGCAGTAAAAGTATCTATAAAGAACGAATGATGATATGGCATCAATTATTCCCTCTACACTAATAATTTCTCTGCCTATATCTCCAGCCCTGACTTTACTCCTGAGCATTCTTTCCCATTTACAATTTGCCTGCTAGCCAATGCATCTTCCACCTGGATGTCCTGTAGACTTCACCCACAGCATGTCCAAAATAAAATACATTTTTCTCAACAAATTGGCCTCTTTTATCTTTTTCCAACACTTTTATTTTTCCCAGGCACTCAGTTAAGAAACTCAGGAATCATTCTGACCACTCTCTCCCCACTCAATGTACTACTCTTATTCACCAGGTTCCTGGAAATCTATATCTACAGTGGCTCTTAATTCAGTTTTTAATACTTTAGGCCATCATTAAATATTGTCTGGGCTTTTAATCTTCTTCATTTTTCAATCTATTCATTTCTGCCTAAACATCTAATAGTATATGCTTTATTATGGCATCCACAGCTCAATAAAAGTCAATGGCTCCCTAGTGCCTCTCCAATCTAATCTCCCTATTCCACACCACCCCCCACACATCTTGCCCTCCAGACAAACCAGGTTACTCACTATTCTATAATCTGCCACACACTTTCTTTTTGAACTGTCATTGTTTGAGTGCTAATACTGAATGAAAAAAAATGATTTCTGAGAGTTATATTTCAATAAACAGAAATAACATTTACCAAAGTCAATAGTACAAGCTTTTCTAACTACTTGTGAAGTTTCTCATGTAACTTATTCTCCATTTCGGGTGTCTCATGTATAAAACTAGACAGTTACGCTGATTAAAAAAAAGACATTACACCGGTTAATAACTTGAAAGAATTAAAAATGTAATAAAAATACAAGCTGTTACATTACTATCACTAGTATAACAGTAGTTCTTTCAACTTCATTTCTATTTTAATAAAATCACTTGGAGCTATGATCAAAATATTCATATAGGAAACCTAAAACAACAAAAAGCTTGAGAGCCACACTTTACCAAATCAGTCAAGAGTTAAGTGTTTTGTTTCAGATTAAAGAAAAACATTTTCTTCAGAAGAAAAACATTATTAAGGACATAAAGTGGCAATAAATCTATGTCCTCAACAAAAATCTACACAGGGGCGCCTGGGTGGCACAGCGTTAAGCCTCTGACTCTTGGTTTCTCGGCTCAGGTGGTGATCTGGGATATTGAGATTGAGCCTGGGGGTGTTACGCTCCCCTCTCGGCATGAAGTCTGCTTGGGACTCTCCCTCCCCCTCTGCTCCTCCCCCCTGCACTCTCTCTCTAAAATAAACACATAAATCTTTTTTTTTTTAAGTTTTTTAAATTTATTTATTCAACAAGAGATAAGGGAGCATAAGTAGGCAGAGCGGCAGGTAGAGGGAGCGGGAGAAGCAGGCTCCCCGCTGAGCCGGGAGCCTGACGTGGGGCTCGATCCCAGGACCCTGGGATCATGACCTGAGCCGAAGGCAGCCGCTTAACGACTGAGCTACCCAGGAGCCCCAAATGCATAGATCTTACAAAAAAAATCTATACGGGTGCCTGGGTGGCTCAGGTCATGATCCTGGGGCCCTGGGATCGAGCCCCGCATTGGGCTCCCTGCTCAGCGGGAAGCCTGCTTCTCCCTCTTCCACTCCCCCTGCTTGTATTCCCTCTCTCGCTCTGTCAAATAAATAAATAAAATCTTTAAAAAAAAATCTATATATACTTCCCTTTTTCTTTTTTTAAGTTTTTATTTAAATTCTAGTTAGTTTACAGTATAATATTAGTTTTAGGTGTACAATATAGTGACTCAACATTTCCATATAACATTTGGTGCTCATCACCTATTTAACCTATCCCCCTTCTTCCCCACCTCTAGTAACCATCAGTTTGTTCTCTATAGTTAAGAGTCTGTTTCCTGGGGCGCCTGGGTGGCTCAGTCATTAAGTGTCTGCCTTCAGCTCAGGTCATGATCCCTGGGTCCTGGGACTGAGCCCTACATCGGGCTCTCTGCTCAGCAGAGAGCGTACTTCTCCCTCTCCTGCTCCTCTTGCTTGTACGCTCTCTCTGTCATATAAATAAATAAAATCTTAAAAAAAAAATAATGCAATCTCATGATATACTTGTGGCTTTTTATTTCTGTATGTGTATATATATATATATCTATATATATATGATTGGAAGGAAAGACACTGGAAATCAACTCTACTTTTTAGTGGATCGTGGGTGGGATTACAAGCAATTTTTTATTTTATGTTTTTCTATATTTTATGAATTTCCCAATTTCTTTGTACAGTTGATCCTTGAACAACATGGGTTTAAACTGCACAGGTCCACTTATAAGTGAATTTTTTCAATAAATACTGCAGTACTGTAAATGTATTTTCTCTTCTTATGATTTAAATAACATTCTTTTCTCTAGCTTACTTTACTGTAAGAATACAGTATTTAATACGTATAACATATGTGCTAACCAACTGTTTATGTTATTGGTAAGGCCTCTAGTCAACAGTAGGCTATTAGTAGTAGAGTTTTGGGGGAGTCAAAAGTTTTATGTGGATTTTCAAATGTTGGGGGGGAGTCACTGCCCCTAAGCTGCATGCTGGTCAAGAGTCAAATGTACCATTTTTATAATCAGATTTGAAAAAACATCGAAGGGCGCCTGGGTGGCTCAGTCGTTAAGCCTCTGCCTTCGGCTCAGGTCATGATCCCGGGGTCCTGGGATCGAGCCCCGCGTGGGGTTCCCTGCTCAGCGGGAAGTCTGCTTCTCCCTCTCCCACTCCCCCTGCTTGTGTTCCCTCTCTTGCTCTCTCTCTGTCAAATAAATAAATAAGATATTAAAAAAAAAACATCGAAAATAATATATAACATGTCTCTTTCGGTAAAGCTAACAAAAACTCTGGCCACGAGATGTCCTCCCAGAGCCACACTGAATGGATGATACCAGGTTTAAGTCACCTACTTCATGGGACTTCGTTTCACTGGTCCTTATGTCATCACAGCAACATTCTTTCAGATAGGCTTAGATGCTCAATTTAACTCAAAAGGGACCCTCAGAGCCCTGGTTAAAAATTCTTACAGAATGAGAATACAACTGGATGAACCATGTAAAATGGCCAATATTTAACCATTTCATTTCTGGTTAAATAGTTTCTGATCTACAAAACTGGAAACTTTTTTTTTTTTTTAAAGATTTTATTTATTTGAGAGAATGAGAGAGAGAGAGAGCATGAGAGGGGCGGAGGGTGAGAGGGAGAAGCAGACTCCCCGCTGAGCAGGGAGCCCGATGCGGGACTCGATCCCAGGACTCCAGGATCATGACCTGAGCCGAAAGCAGTCGCTTAACCAACTGAGCCACCCAGGCGCCCAAAACTGGAAACTTCTATATGGTTCAACCTAAAACTAAAAAATGAAAGTGACAGAACTAAAAAGGAAATAAGGCAAAAAAGAGGAAACATGAAACAGAAAAGGGAAATGACTGCTCAAGTTGTATTT